CTTGTCTTAATTACCGCTTCCTCTGTACTATTCCATTACTTTCATATTCTGATTCTTCTGACTGAATCCATTTCACTACTACTGACTCTGTGCTTCAGACACAGTACATCCTTTTGGGACACATTCCCATGTTCCAGAGAGCTTTGAGCTTGGCATTAAACTGATCAGAATTGAGACCCTTCCTAAAGGTACTTGCTTATCCTCATTAGCCAGTTTTCTAGAATTCCACTAGGAATTGAAAACAAGCAGATTTCATTGATATTTTACACAGCAGAAATTGAGAGGAGCTAAGTAAAGGTGGGGTAATCTTTGATTAGACATAAGAGTCGAGAAAAGCACCCCCGTCTTCCCTTCAAAATGGATTTGCCTGTCTTCTTCCAAGAATCTAACGCAAGTTGTCCCCAGAGCTGTACTACACTTGCTTACGTCCTCTACTCCTAACAGCTGCAAAAAATGAGACACAGGTATTACAAACAATACAAGTCAAACAACAACTTAAATAGCAAAGCCAAGCACTCAAAATGTAAGAAACATCAGATTTAAGTTTGCTGTGCAACATCAATTGTGTGCCTTGATTGCCTAGCTGAAGCTTTTATCTTTGTGCATTTATCATGCAAAGACTGTAGTAACGCTGCACATGCACAGAAGAGATTAATGTAGGATGAAGGGGAAGTTACGCATCTTAGTCCTTCTGAACTTTTGTGTTTGGCACTGCAATCAAAATATACTTTTTTTAACTTGGGAAGGGAAGAGGGATGGCTACATCAGTTCCCTACAAAGGCAAATACTACTGTATACAGATATTTGACACCTGAACCTTCAGCAATGCGACATGCAAGGATAAAGCCATCTTCAAGGAAAGCATTATTGTAAGCCCATACAGTAAATCCTAAGGGAAAACAGACTACACTTTCTCTATTTCAGCAGCTTCCAATATTCCTAGAGAAAGGTGGCTCCTTCCTCACACACTGTCCTGCATCTAAGCCCATCTACTTACGCTAGAAGAATTTTCATGGGAAAACTGATTAATTTTCCTCCCAAATAAGTGGGAGAAGATGTATCAAATGATGACTCTGGGATATGGGAAGAAAATCTTGTTACACTACCAGGCCGCAGAAGCAGTTTAGAGTATGGAGAGCTCTGTATGTATCAATCAAGTCAATCTCATTTAGGAACACTTAAAAACATTTACTTATTTTCCCTGCCTCCTTTTTTGAGAGTGAAGGAGAAATTACTTAGTTGTTGAGGGGAGAGATTCAAAGAGCTTTCAAATTTAAATGAACACTTTGGTAATTTTTCAGACGATCTTTCTTCTAAGTTTTAAAAAGGTAATTCATAATTCATTTTATATTCTCCAGTTATCACTCTCAACACATCTTAATGAGTTGCCAAAGGTAACTGCCAGCTTTTGCAATTTCTTTGGCATGTTATTTAATAACCTGTGTTTCACATCTAACTACATAGCTCATAACATACTTCCCCTAACACAATAATTATTTAAAGGGTATATACAAATTGACCATAGCACTGAAAACAATTACTTAGCTGAGTAACTTGTAACACTGGCTAAAAATCAGGACAACCCGAAGAAAAGCAACCATAATACCTATGAACCATGAAAGCTGTGGCTTTTCTGAGACAGATCATACATTCTTCATAGTAGGATACTATTTCCTAGTGTGCTTACGACAGACTGCAAATTTGCACCTGCATAGACTTTCTACACAGGTAAAAGCAGAGTAAAACACAAACTCAGTGACTCAAGTACATCACTAAATTCTACATCTTTAAAGCACCTTGCATTTTAATCCAAATAAAGCGATCTTAAAATAAGTGAATAAAAACATAACAGTAAATTTAATGAGCTCTGCACAGTAAAATAACAATCATTCCACTAACATGTTGGAGAGAGAGGTATTTCATGTTCTAGAGGTTAAAACCACATAGCCTGCAATGTTCATCAATCTTGCAAAATATTTCACAGGACTCAAGCAATTAATGTTTATATTCTGCCTGTCTTGAGCTAACAGCACACACAACTCTGTGTTTCAGTCACAGCAGAGACTAGGACTCTCGAATATTCTGCTTTATAGACATAAAAACATAAGATACTATTTTCCATACCTTCTACATTTTTGCTGAAAATTCTGATAGAATTTAGCTGACACATCAGAATTTGATTCTAGAAGAAAAAAGTTTAATTCTAAACTCACTGAAAAAATGTTTTTTCAGTACACACAATTTCCTGTAGTTTAGAACCTGATCCTTTTTCTTGATTAATCATAATGACTACGCAAACAAATAACTAACCCTTCTAAAACCTTAGCATATTTGTCATCAGACATTTCCCCCAGAGAACTAATGAACAGTCTCTGGTTAAAAACCATCCACCTAATGAAATAAAAGTGTAGTGTCTAGTTCTGATATGATAAACCTTTGGAATTGAAACCTTTACAATCTGGTTTTAAAAGGCTGTCAACCTTCATTTTTAAAGAACGCTCTCAGGTCAAATATATATAAAACATAAAGACTGTAAAAATGAAAGAAGAGTCTGCAGACCACATGCAGAGTCATGGAAGTTCAATGTACATTTCCCAAGGACAATATTAATTATTTCTTATCCTTGTTAATTACAACAAATAAAGAAATTACGTAGCACAGTTTGGGCAGCTATCACAAAGATCTGTCAAAGGAGATGAATCCTGACAAACTACGATACCATGATTCTAATCCCGACACACTAAAATAATCAAACTTTTGGATCAACCAGCTTATTAGCACTAACAAGTGTGAAGGAATATCTGTAATGCAGTGAGGTATTTATATGGGCAGAACGCTGCACAAAAACAATTACACCTTTCCAATACCTGAGCAGAACACCTTCAGATTTTAGGTATCTCTACAAACACATGAACATGCAGTATCCTCACAGGTTTATTTTTATATAAATTCAGCAAGTCAGATTATATTCTTTCTGCAACCGTAACTGCTTCATATAACTAGAGAACAGCTGCCTGAGGCCAACATGATCAGCTACCAGCGTTTGCTGTGCACACATCTTAAGGTTGACTTTGGGATCCAAACTCCAGTCTTCTAATAAAGACTGAACACACACAGCCAAGCAGTCAGTCTACATTTTCGTATGTTTCCTATGATCCTATGTACAATAAAGGTGTATTCCATTCCTCAAACGTTTTCAAACTACAGACAATTTGTTAATATTTAATTTACTATAAGTGTTTCCACTCTGAATTTTAATTCTGTATGCTGGCCACAGCAGTTAAAGTTAATGAAAACTAACAGTATGGAACAGAAACAGCTAAACCAAACTCATTCTAACAGACTGAGATCATACTCTTCATGCAGTCCCACCCCACAATTTCTGTTTTGCATTTATGGTATGCACTTGTCTCAGGATCCATTGCTAGAATGTGTGCTATACAGTCCCTTGTAGTCACTACTAAAGAATTGATTGTACTTATTTACAAAGAAAGCCCCAAACAACCAAATGCAGACATACAAACTGAAAAGGAGAATTTATCTGGATTTTTGTTGTCATCACAGGCATATCTGTGCTTATCTTGCCTAAAATATATTTATCTTTGAAGGCTTCTAAAAGTCTTCTTATCCTTGCAGATATCACAAATTTGAATATTAAAGCCTGCCTTTTCTGCAAAGAGTCCTTTTACAAATTCCATCCAATGTTGCACTTACCTCTTTTCTGAGAGCATAAAGTTCTTCAAGCATTTCCAGGCTTTTATTTACTGTATGCTGTTCCTGAGATACATACATACCATTGAGCTACAATCTTCCTAGTGACACTCATTTCTGAAACTTACATTCTAGTTGGCTACTCTGTGTTTTAGATTACCTCATGTTAGTAATTTATTTTTAAGTCTCCAATTTTATTCTGGCTCCCTTTTCTTCTGAAAAGTTTATCATTGTTTCAGTTTTGAATTAAACTTAATAATCTTTTAGACTATAAATATGGTCAAATATGCACAAATCATATAATGGGGCAGTAATCAAATGTTAAACATCAGGAAATACATGTTTAAGCTACTTCAAGCAACCTATAAAACAATCAATTAAAAAATTATAAAGACACCCTCTTTATCTCTTTCCACTCCTTATTACTTATCACTTCTGCAAACAAAGACCTTAGGCAAAACTACCTTAAACTCTGCCTATTATTATTATGGCACAGCTGCACTGTACTAACATCCAGAGATGTTTGCCTCTATGTTTTAGTAAGCTAGTTCAGCTCTAGCTCCAAATTGCCTGAAGCTAAACAGCCTCCCTAAAAAATTTTAAACCAATGCAGCCTACCAAGTAATTTAAAACCCAATACACCTTCACCCTTGAAAACAAATCAGTTCTGAGTTGGAATAAACACACTCTGCTGAAAAGTTTGGGGTAGGAAAGCACACTATCCTGTCAATCCATATAAAAAAGGTCATACCACAGACAAAACTTTAAGTGTAAACAGATCATACCCAGAGGTGAATTAGAGGAATCAAACCTTTCTTTTGAATAAAGTATATTAGAAAAGTTAATTATTGCAAATCCTTGTATTGAATGTGCTTGGCTTTTTCTTTTCTAATTTCTAGTGAAATCTAGCTATCCTGTGCATCCATTCAGCATGCTGTGATATCACAATGCTTCTCATTCAGAGGAACAAGGGGCGCTTACTGAACCAGTGGTATACAGTCCAAACTAAGTTCTGGCTACCACTGAGTCTTCTAGACTCCAATGATCTCACAGTTCGAACAAGGTCTTGAGAGACTCTGTAAAGTAGAATTTTTTTCCAAAATACAAAAAAAAAAAAAAAAAAAAATATTCCTAGGTCTCAGAGAATAAACTGCATTTGAATAAGTAGTTCCTGTTTTCACAGTAAAAAAGGGGAGGAAAGCACATTTGCAAAAACATATGAGTTAATAACGTGTAAGACAGGGGAAAACACAATGGACAAAAGAAAAGTGAAATCAAGCCAGACATACCTGAGTTGTTGATAGGCGAAAAACAGGGCCAGCTGTGGGCACTGAAAGTCTAGGTGAAATGCTGGTAGGACCTTGTCCCTGCGTTTGTACTTGAGCCTGCATTTGAGCCTGTGCTAGGGCCTGCTGAGGCACCATTACAAGCTGTCCAGCATCCGTGCGCACCAAGACCATACCTAATGAGAACAAAGTAACAGTAACTATAGAATAAAGAATAATATGAAGAGTAATATCTAAAGAACTATCTAACTATAGAATACAGAATAAAATTGATGTATAGCACTGTACATTTTTCTTTAGACTGTATCTTTTTCTTTATTCTGGTGTAACAGGAGATCTTATTTCAAAGAAGAAAAGGAGCCCCTACTAGCAGACAAAAACTAATACACAGTTCAGGTTGGAATTCAAGTAATGGCAGTTTATGGACAACAGTGATGAAAAAAACAGTCACTGGAGTGTATAGGCATACAGTGACTTTCAGCAGTCTAGCCAGGGTCAGCAGAATAAAATTAGCAAGAAACATTCATTAGAAGTAAACTGTAACGGCAATCCAGTAGCTGAGAACAGAATTCAGTATGAACGTACCAGGGACAATGACACCAGAGCTTTACTAAAACAACAGCTTTAGGGGATGCGTACATGCAAACATTAGGCCAGACACATTTCTGAGTATACAACATTTGAGATTTAGTTAATTGTTGAGCATTAACACATGGATTTATTTGGCACCCACCATCACCATACCGGAAGGCACTACCTGTGGTTCAAACATCAAGGAAAAAATATCATCGTACCCAGAGAACCAACACAACTACTCCTCAGCACAAAATTATACAAGTGCAGATATTTTAGGAAAACACCAAAGGAATTGTTTCAAATTAACAGAGAACTCTGCAAGTGTTTTCTAAGTAAATTATAATACTTTCAGATTATTTTCTAGTAACACATTTCACAAATAGAGGCCCTTCTACACAAAACACAGCTAGTGCCACCAAGTTTTGTCCCAAGCCTGTCTGGCCTAAGTTCTCCACAATCAGCAGGATAGAAAAGGGGAGACGATGGTTAAGTTGGTCTCTGGATCACCTGGAACTTCTCAAGATCAGTGCAAAGCACATGATGCGCTTCTTCTAGTTCTTTCAGAATTAAGCAGTTCTCCAGACAGATTATTTCACAAGAATTTTCAAGTTAGTCCCAGAATACATTTTAAGAATTTAACCTAGGTAGGATACAACATAGGATACAATGGGTCTATAAACAGAAAAACATCTTGCCTGTAACTACTGGAGAACCAAATAAGGATCTAGGAAGTCAACTTTCATTCTGTTGATAAAGTCAGTAGATGTTATTTCTGCAACTTATCTCTATGTGCAAATTGCTTCATATATTTTTTAACTTTTCAAGGGAAAATGAAGAAGGTAAAAGCTTACATTCACTTCTAATTATTAGGTTCCCGGAAAAAAAAAAAACCAAGACCACACTTCAGTAAATGGACATGATTTGCAACTTATCGCAAGAATAAAGAAATTTAAACAGTATTATACCAAGAAAGTCTTTCTTTCAGTGTCTGACATAGAAATACAACTCCCAGTCCTGGGATGGACACCTAAGTGAACTGCAGCACCAATAAAAGCGCTCACTCACATAGTCTTAGGTGCTCCCAACCACCACTGCTACAGATTTGTGGAAATCAAGCTTTAATGTAGAAGGCATAGAGAGCTACAGCAAGGACCACATCTAAAAGCCCAGATAGTAATTTTTAAAAGAAGAGTTGGGAAAAAAAACCCATCCATAAAAATTCTCTAAAAGGTAGCATTTTAGGTTCACTAACCCTTCAAACAGCAAACCTCAGGGTTCATACCTGTAGAAAATTCTATAAGCAGATGATGTATTTGATAACTGCCATTCCTAAACCATGTGGACACACAAAAATTAGTACATTACCAACTGGTCAATCACTTCTCTGATAACGTTGTAAACTTTATATAAAAATCCTCATAGGATAATGCCCATCATGTATTAAAAACCACATGCTCTATTTGTATTACACTGATTCACAGGTGCTTTGTTAATTTATCTTCCAATTTTCTAAAACTCTTTCTGAATAAAAAAAATAATTGAATGGAACGGACAAATTAATTGCAACACATGCCACAGTTTCAACAAAAGTTGCAGACATAATAACCTCTATAGATGCATAAATGTTCGCTTATTAATATTATGTTTTAATTCAGTTTGGAGGACTTTAAATTTCTTTTACTGAACAGTATGTATACATTAGAATCTGGTTAAATGATGAGATTAATTTTTCCTTACTGTCAGCCACATAAAGATGAAATACACAGTTTATGAGTATTATATGCTAAAATAACCCATTCTCAAAAACTGATTCTAAATTTCTGCTTTAGACAGAAGTTTACAATTTGGGAGTTTCAAAATTAATTATGAATGATCCACTAATTTAAAGAGTAAAAACTCAAAAATAGCATTGTATTTTCTGACTACCTTCCTCTTAGAACATACTATCTTCATGTTTATGCAAATTTAATGGATTTCAAACAATCTTTCAGTAAAATAAAATTACAACTTTCCACAGTATTATTTCCGTAACATTTTCTAAACCTTGGACCAGATTGCTTTTAACAGCTCCGTTTTCCTCTTCTGTTTGAAAATTAAGTAGCAGAAGAAAGTATTATTGACACAATAAACTTCAGAAACTGCATGCAAAGTTACGATACACATTATCATAGGTGTTTATTAATTATCAAACAGATTAATAACAGGAAAACAAAGGTTCAAGGCACAATAAAGCCTGAATAGCAACCTCTTCTCTTTTCAAAGTTAGTTAGATCTTCATGAAACCACTGAGCTTTACCTGGTTGGAGCATTACAATTTGGAGCAGGTGTTTCATAAACTATGGCCAAAGACACAACTACTGAAGTCCACTTAGAAGCAAGCTTCTACACCATCACATTTTTGCTCCTCTTAGCTAATAAATACCAAATATTTTAAGAAATGTGGTGGGAAAAGTAAGTTACTTCAGACTACACGAATAGCTCCACATACTATTACAATATTGATATTAATAGCGAAAACTTAAAAATTAGTTCAAATGTTAAATCATCTCCTAAATCAAGAAGGCACAAACTTACCAACTTTTTGCAACATGAAAATCTAAGTAGGGGACCGCAGAACCCTTCAAAATTTCAGATATAACAATATACAGTTAGAGGAGGAATCACTAGGATGAAGGGATGCTGTTTGGGTTAGTTAGCAACCTTGCTGAATTTACGTTTTTCGTAACGCAAGTAACTAAAAGGAGAATAGATAGGACGCAACAGTTACTTCAGAGTTAGAAATAAAATCCGGTGATGTACAGACTGCCAGCAGAGAATGACACCACGGCACTCACTGAAATGAAACATTTTAGATTAAATTACCCAGATGAGCCTGTACCTTGCCACCTGATTCCCAGCAGAAGACACTCTCTGAAGAAGGAAAACTTTTCAAGACCGTGGGGAGTAAAGCAGAAAATAAGAGCCCTTCGAAAACGTCCATAAAGTTATTCTAACAGCCCAGCTTTCTACCTCGCGCGCAACCGCTCACCACCACACCACCACAAAGCAAACTCTCCGCGGCCGCCGCGCTCTCCCCAAGACAGAGCGCGTAACTCACCCACAGCCACAATTACTTTGCATTAGCAACCGCCCGCCCCGTACTAATTACACCCTCATTAACGGCAGCCCGTTCGTCAGACGTCGCCCTTAGACAGGTGGCTCTTCTTTTGTTTCCAGCACGTCGAGCAGCGGGAAGGCAACTTTGATTAAAAAAAAAACCCCAAACCAAACTCAGCCAAGAAAAAAGGGTTAGACAGAGCGGCGAGCCCACCGCTGAGGCGCTTCCACTTACCGGGCGGGATAGTGAAGCCGGGGGGCAGCTGGATGGTGGTCTGCTGAGGCGGCCTCACGATCAGCTGGGGGGCCACGATCCTGGGGGCAGCGCCCAGCGCCGGCCTGGGCGACAGGGCCTGGGGGGCCGCGGGGGCGAC